CCTTGCTGTCTATGGGGGGGTCTTGATCGTGGTAGTTACCTTGCTGTCTATGGGAGGGTCTTGCTGTCTGTGGGTGGCTCTTGATCATGGTAGTTACCTTGCTGTCTATGGGAGGGTCTTGATCGTGGTAGTTACCTTGCTGTCTATGGGAGGGTCAGAGAGCCCTCAGATTCAATCAAAAATACCTTAAATTGTGTTCTGAAGACGAACGAAGGTCTTACGGGTTTGGAACGACACGAGGGTGAGTAATTAATGACAGCATTTTCATTTTTGGGTGAACTAACCCTTTAAGTCTAGCCTGAACATTTGAAAGAGTTGTAAAAGCTTGACAAGTTTTAAACAGTTTTAATAAAATTGAGATAGACAGATAGCATGATTTAGCATATTGCTAGGATGTTTTAACATGTTGGTAGAATGGTTTTAACATGATGTTGCTAACATGAGTTGCATGTTTCTAACACGAATAGCATGTCGTTAGCATGTTACTAACATGTATCTAACATAATTAGCATTCTGTTAACATGTTTCTAGCATGATTAGCATGTTACTAGCATGTTTCTGGCATGATTTGCATGCCGTTAACATGTTTCTAACATGACCGGCTTGTTGTTAACATGTTTCTAACACGATTAGCTTACTACATATTACTAGCATGATTGGCATGTTGTTAGCACGATTTAGCCCACTGCTAGCATATTTCAGCATGATTTAATACATTGCTAGCATGTTTTAGCACAATATAAGAAATATTAGGTAGAATGGACGCTTAAATGAGTCTAAAAGGATTAGAAATAGTACATAGAATAGCAGTTTGATTGAGTCTCAAAGGATTCTGGGAGTTTAAATTTGAATTTTGACAGTTGGAGTTTGAATAGTCTTGGCTCATTTGAACACTCCGCCAATGTGAGTCTATGGGATTTTGATGATTTTTAATCTTCATTTTTAGGAAAAATGTAAGTCCGATCAGTCTGAAAAGAGCAAGCAACCCGAGTCAGAACAATCTGAAGATCTGGGCTGAGTTTGGCGGTTGTAGTGTGAAAACTCTAGGAGGAGCAGCTTTTAGAAATGTAGTCTAAGAAGAATAAACTTACATAGCAAGTTCTCAAACCAACCTAATAAGACGCTCATATCACATATTACACGCAATAACTGAAAAACACAACATCAGTCACCTCTGGAGCAAACATGGTTTCATATGTAGGGTTGTACGTGACTTCTTTGAGTGCTGGATCAAGATGAACCCCGGTCTCAACATCTTCCTGACAAACAACACGATTTTACTTATCAATAAGTGAACAGAACACCAAAATTAACAACATTTTACTCGACAGAGCTAATACACAAACATAGCAGCGTTTTTCAAAATACAGTTCACTTAAAAACCACTTTAACGTCCTTATAATCTACTGTACTGAAGCATTCTGAGGCGCGTTTCTTGTTTACCTTCACGGCGACTTCGGGCGCGGAATTCAGAACGGCTAACGCCGTTATAGTGCCGGGTTTTAACGGCTGAAGATGGGCTGCCGCGTCTGGGTCGACCTTCTGCGGACTGGTAACGTTACCGAATTCGGACTCGTTTTCCGAATCTGAGCCGCTGCCGTAAGAAACGAGGGAACTCGCCGCCGCCGCCATCTTGAATGTTGTGGGTCTTTCGTCAGCGAGTCCTGAGAGAGCTTCTTCTTCTTTACATTTTATTGGCGGTTGGCAAACCAACTGACAGGTGCATTTACCGCCACCTACTGGACTGGAGTGTGGGCAGTACTTTAAAAGAAAGGACTAGGTAAATTTTTTTAAATAACAATAAAAAAAAACCTTTTTTTATATATATATATATATACACATACATACCTTCTCCTTCCCCCCGTATATGAGTCCTGAGAGATGTATGCTGTTCGTAAATTAATTCGTACTCTTAAAATGGATATTATAACACGCATTTATAATTTAAAGCGATATAAATTAAGGACATTGCTTTTATATGTCTGAAATTGAATGTCAAGGGAGCGCGGTGACGCGCTGCCAAGATGGCGACGGCCGGCTCCGCCCCCTTTGAGCTTCAAAAAAGCTTTTCGGAACCATACAGGTGACGTCACGGCACTACGTCCATGTTTTTATAAAGTCTATGTGTTAATCGCGATAAAACGAGCGGACTGGACAGAAACGGTCGTCAAAAATGCTCGCGTTTGCAGCGCACACTTCTTATCAGAAAAGGTTCAATAAAGTATTGTCTTTTGTTGTTATGGGCGCGTCTACAGATTTCTTGCCCTATGTCTCTATTTCTTGCATCTCACGACTACGTCGTGTATGAAATAATGTCTGTGTGCATGTGTATAAAACAACAAACTGATGATTTATAGAGTACTGGTATTACCGGCTGCTGTGCCGGGAAATTATGCGGATCGTTACTGACACACATCTGCTGTATTTTCACCGTGGATCCCTTTTCCAGCATGGACGGTCCTCGAGTCCCGAGCTCCAGGGAGTCACACTCGCTGTGTATCAGTACTGTGTTTCTGCAATGAACACCGCGCGACTGAACCGACAGGAATATCTTAAGGAATAACCTCGGGAAAACATGGAATAATACGAGTACATAACATTTAGTCAGGTATGATGTTTTATGCATGCTTGCTTTGAGGTATGCACTGTTCTTTACTGCGTTTCACCATTTGCTGTTCAAATTCTTTGAAAAACGCATAATGCAGATATGCATGGGGAAAAGTGTTCTTATATGCATATTCCATTTTTCGCATTTATCTTCTTTGGCTGATGCATTTACGATGTAAACCAATTCAGGAGTGGATGACAGGTGTGGGTTGAATTATGCATGCATGTGAAATAACTCGCATAATGCATTCTAAAGCATCCCGAATGCATGCTACACGATGCGAGCATCACATATTACACGCGACTGCTGTTTGTTTTCATTGAAGGCATTAAAACAGATCACTTATTTGTGATCACTTGGTTTCGTGCTGCTCTGAGAGTGATGCATTCAGGGGGGAAGGGGGGTCACATCTGTATGGCAAACACAAGGCAAACTATCGCACCAAAATGCGATTTGCATGCTTGCTAAACAGTGTGCACTCCAGAGTACTGCTGGGATGGCATGCCAAATATTTAGCAGTAGGATAAAAAAAATACTTCAGTTGTTACAAGTAAATATAATATAGTGCATACTCAATGCATAACGCAAATGCATCCCGTATAGGTGCGAATGAAGTGTACATTTGAGTGCAGTTTTGTGCATGCAGGGGGAAGGGCAGCAGACACTGGAAGACTCGCTTTGTGAAACCCGAGACTTGAAGAAAGCACGACGCATCATCGCTTCTCTGTTCATTAAATGCATTTAAAATAACAGCACATTTCAAAAGGATGGCATGCTTTTCTCGTGCTTTAACGCATGGACATCTTATACAGTTGTTTTTTTCCCTCCGAATGAGGTGCTATGTGTGGTATACGAGGAGGAATGATTCGTTTGAATGAATCGGTTAGTTCACCGACGCCGCTCAGAGATCCGAATCGCGTAGCGTGTTCAGCACCAAACATTGTTTTTGTCAAGTATGGCACGTTTTCGTTTTCGATTTTACCGCCAAATTAAGTTATGTCTTTGCCTGTTCTCGGGTGATTTACAAACGATCCGAATCTTTTCAAAAGAACCGACTCGAAAGACTCGGTTCGTTCGGGCATCACTAGCGTGCGTTGTGTGTCATCCTCGCGACCACATGCAGCGTTCACTTCAAACTTTATTGGCTCGTATTGCCAAAGCATTAATAAAAACCTTATATAATGCTCTAAAGCAGCGTTTATCTGTTGGGAAATCCAGATTAGGCTGGTATATGTGTTTTGGTAACTGGTTGAGCATCTTGATCACCTAAATCTTGTGTTATATAAATGCATGACAGGTTTTGGTGCCATTTACATTGTGTCTGATTCAGCTGTACACATACATGTACAGTGTTCACACACAGGTGCATAAATGCACTTTTAAAGGGTTGATTTGCTGAATGTCAGACACTGCAGTTTCACTGGTTGTGCATTAATGATCCAGATGTGAAGTGGGTCAGGCTGATGTTGTTGTCGACTTCAGTTCTTTGTCTTGAGCTTTTGCTGGCGAAGCAGAAAAGTTTGTTTTTCTTTTCTGGATGGATTTTTGTTCAGAAAACCCTTTCACGTGGCTTCTGTTTGATTTGCTGCCAGGACGGACCGGCTGAAAAGAAGAACGTGTGTGTTGATATATACAGTATATAGTTATATTCATTATATATAATTATTTAAACAATATATATTTTTAATTTATTCTAATAATATGTATTTTATTTATATTTAAGCAATAAACAACAATATACTATATATGCAATAATATTAAATATAATATTAAACACATTAAAAAAATTAAATAAAATATGACATTATAAATAAAATGATGAAATTATTTACAAATAATAGATATTATATTAAATTACATTTTAAAGTGGCATTTAAATATTAAAAATATATGTATGTAAATGTTGTTTATCACCCATATATATATATATATATATAAATAAAAATGTAAATAATGAAAAATACAAAATTTCAAAATAATTACATTTAATGAAAAAAATATATTATATTAAATATTACACTGGGAAAAAATGGTGTAGGATTTACTTTTAGCTGAAATTTTGAAGCAGAAAGACTGAAAAGGTAATTTCTTGCCAAATGTACTTCGGTAATCCTTGTTTTATTTACAACTTCTGTACAAAATAAACCATTAAAATTGATTAAACAACAATATACCATATATACACAAATGCAATAATATTAAATATGTATATAATTATTTAGAAAGTTACTCGTGTTTAGTATTTCAATATATATCGACAATTTATAATATTATATTTAAGCAATAAACAGCAATATGTAATGTGGATTACGTAATTAGATTATATTACGTTTTAAAATGCTCATGATCAGATTACAGTTACTTTTTTATGGATTAGATGATTAGAAATTATTCACACAATGGCAGTAAATGATTCATAATTTATTGACTCTCGCTAGTTCATTTTTCACTTTTTTAAAGTTAATATTTCAATAATTTAACGACACATTCGCATGTTCCCTGATGTTGGTTAATGGTCATAGATTTTATTTCTCTTTAATTTAAAATACAATCCATTTAAAAATCTATAAACAAGTTTATATAAACAAAAGTAATCTAAAAGTAATCCAAAAGTAGTCAGAATACATTACCTAAAATAAGTAATCTTGATTACATTACTGACTACAATTTTCAACATGTAAATCAGTAACAGACTATATATATTTATATATGTGTGTGTGTATATACACACAAACACACACATATGACAATTTATATTTTTAAATGCATATGTATTTTAAATGTATATTTTTTATATTTATATGTAAGTGATAAACCACATATACAATAGGGTTGTGACGGTGAGGAAATTTTCCCACCGGTTAATCGACGTGTGACAACACAATAATAAATTCCTCGCTTTCCTTCACTTTTAAATAGATTAAAAGCGCCGTGCGCATTTTACTTTCACTTTCGATTTAGCGGCAGTTCGGCGTCGATTGCTTGAATGCAACAACAAAATACAACGTCAAACTCACTTTAGCGTATATATATATATATAAAACATATAAAAATACACCATGCTAAAGGGCAGGCTATGCCTAATATAAAATAACAAATAACTTACATAAAGTTTAAATAGGTATACAAAACTGGAAATAGGCTAAGTAAACATGTATAATATATAACCAAATAAATAAGAAACGTAGAACGTTTATTAACAAAACGAGTAAGAAAGCTTGGACCTCGCCCTTCTTGTCTGTCTCGCCTCGCTCTTCTTGTCTGTCTCGCCTCACTCTTCTTGTCTGTCTCGCCTCACTCTTCTTGTCTGTCTCGCCTCACTCTTCTTGTCTGTCTCGCCTCACTCTTCTTGTCTGTCTCGCCTCACTCTTCTTGTCTGTCTCGCCTCACTCTTCTTGTCTGTCTCGCCTCACTCTTCTTGTCTGTCTCGCCTCACTCTTCTTGTCTGTCTCGCCTCACTCTTCTTGTCTGTCTCGCCTCACTCTTCTTGTCTGTCTCGCCTCACTCTTCTTGTCTGTCTCGCCTCACTCTTCTTGTCTGTCTCGCCTCACTCTTCTTGTCTGTCTCGCCTCACTCTTCTTGTCTGTCTCGCCTCACTCTTCTTGTCTGTCTCGCCTCACTCTTCTTGTCTGTCTCGCCTCACTCTTCTTGTCTGTCTCGCCTCACTCTTCTTGTCTGTCTCGCCTCACTCTTCTTGTCTGTCTCGCCTCACTCTTCTTGTCTGTCTCGCCTCACTCTTCTTGTCTGTCTCGCCTCACTCTTCTTGTCTGTCTCGCCTCACTCTTCTTGTCTGTCTCGCCTCACTCTTCTTGTCTGTCTCGCCTCACTCTTCTTGTCTGTCTCGCCTCACTCTTCTTGTCAGTCAGCTGGACTCGCTCTCCTCACTGGAGAAATGAAATCTGATCTGTGATGTGACTGTCGTTCGGCACGCTGCATTGAGCAGTTCAGTTTTTAATTGTAGTGTCTATTCTTTTACTGAACTAAATTATTTTTATTAATATAAAAAATCTAAACGACGGTGGGGGTCGGTGACGCGGTGGGCAAGTGACGTAACCAGTGTTGCGGCTTAACACCGGTATCACCGTCAGAACCGTCTATCGCGGCAAGCCTAACACACACACGCACACACACAAACACACACACACACACACACACACACTCACACACGTCAATTTATATTTTTAAATGCATATGTATTTTAAATATATATTTTTTAGATTTATATGTAAGTGATAAACCACATATACAATATATATACATTTTATATTTTATATATATTCTTCATTATATAAAATTTAGACTATTTATATTTTTTTATTATTTTATCTATGTTTATTTTCACTTAAGCGACAATCAACATTTACCAACATAAAAATTATTTAAATTATTTTATCTATATTTTATTTCCATTTAAGCGATAATCAACATTTACCAACATATATATTTTTGATATATGACGAATGCCACTTTGACATTTTTAGGTAACGCAAATGAATAGTTTAATCAGATTTGACTTAATAGACAGGTAAAGGAATCAGAAAGCAGGCCGAGACAGTGCCGTTAAAGAGATGAAATGGTGCTGAAGTGTCCTAAACTGGCCGAACGTCCCGGCTATGAAGACGCCTCGGACACAAGAGTCTTTGTTCAGTCTCTCTGTTCGGCACACAAAGCTGCCTCTGTGTGTGTGTGTGTAGTTAGAGTTTGTGTGTTGTGTTGTCGTCACCCGTCTCTGCCAGCGTACAGAGACAGATGAAAGGCTGCAGGACCGTGAACTCGCTCTGAGATTTCTGAGATCGCCTGCGTTCCTCTGTTTGCATCGAGCTGATGTTGAAGATCAGGCCTGCAGAGATCAGAACAGCGTCACACGTCAACGCCAATATGTATTATCATCACTTCATTATAATCCAAGAGTTGCGGTTGCTAGGGTACTTGGGGTGGTTGCTAGGGTGTTGCTATGCGGTTGCTAGGGTACCCGGGGTGGTTGCTAGGGTGTTGCTATG